AGATGATTGTCGAGAAATGTGGTAGAGGGCCTGGCCAGTTAGCTCAGTTGGTCAGAGTCATTCCAATATGCCAAGGTTGCAGGTTTGCTGCCCCAGTCAGGGCACACACAAAAAACAATGAAATGCATAAATAAGTGGAACAAAAAAAGCAATGACTTTTTTCCCCTTTCTGTCCCCCTTGCTCTTCCTCTCTAAAAATTAAAAGAAGAAAGAAATGTGGTAGCCCTGACTGGTGTGGCTCTGTGGGTTCGGCGTCATTGTGCTAGCCGAGAGGTCACTGGCTTGATTCTTGGTCAGGGCACATGCCTGGGTTGCAAGCCAGGTCCCCAGTTGGAGACCACTAAGAGGTAACTGATGTTTCTCTCCATTTCTCCCTCCCTTCCACTCTCTCTAAAAATAAATAAAAATCTTATTTAAAAAATTAAAATGTAGAATCAAAACACATTCTACCAATTAACAGAGTACTGGAAGAATGTGAAGCATGATCATTGTGGATGGCAGTAAAATAAGGAGTTGGCAGGAAATGCAATTTTCACCTTAAGATGAAATGGTTTTCAGTCTTAGATTATGGGTCAGTCATTTGAAAGGAACCTCAGGTAAGAAATCAGATGTTCGTGGTTCCTACTGTGTAAAGTAACTTGTATTTTACATAAATATTACCTGATATCTGGGAATCAAAAAATATGAAGTAGGACCGTAACATGTCAGAACTTATAGGTAACATTTGTTCAGAAAGACTGCTAAAACCTATTTCAACCCAAGCTAGTCAAGTATAATTTTATTTTAGACAGTATTACTTATAAATTTAGCAAGTAATCTGACTTCACAAGAGGACAGGAGATTGCTACAGGCAAACATTGACAGCAAAGGAGTTAGAAAAATTAAAAGTTCACACAAGCATAATGAAGAAATGGCTTTATATATACACCTCCGTAACATTTAAGCATTTGCTTTGCAATGTGTTACAAAGATTTAACCATCCAAATGTCCAAGAAAAAATTTAAATTACTTGATAATCTTGCTAAGAGGACAAATGTGTGATACTTTTGAAAAAGTAATGAGCTTTAGTAACCTGGAATTTATTTGAAAATCTTACACCCATATTAAGTGAAGTGTTAGTTTAACTGTGTTTGATGGTTAATAAAATTTTGGCCAAGACCAAAGGATCCTACCACTAAGTCAATAAGTAAAAATACTAGCTAACACAAATTGTGCTATATGCCAGGCATTGTTCTAAATGTTTCTTTCATGTATTAATATACTTAATTCTGAAAACAACCCTGAGATTATTCCCAATTTATTATCTCTTTTATAGATGAGGAAAGTGATGTACAGAGATTTTTAAATAACTTGCCCAATGACATGGCTCCAGTGGCAGTACTCTTAAGGAGTAACCTATATACAGAAACCTCATCTCGACTAGTTGAGGGAAGCCAGTGAAACATATAGGTGTCTATTAGCTGGGCTGTTGCCCAACATAAAGGAAAGAGTATGGATCAAAAATAATTTTTAAAAGGTGTTACTTGATGCAGCTCATTGAAATTACCTTTGACCCACTTCATCATGGAATGAATTCCTGGTTGCCAAACTCACTTGGTTCTTTTCAGCCCTTATTTTATGATAATGTGATTGATACTATTGACCACCTGTCTCCTTAATACTCTTTCCTTGATTCTCTTTTTAAAATTTATTTTAGACAGAAGGGAGAGTGGAGAAAGAGAAACATCAATTTATTGTCCCACTTATTCATGCATTCATTGGTTGATTCTTTTTTTTTTTTTTTATTCTAAAATGGGCAGCTAACTTAAAGACCTGGATGGACAGTTTCTTTCACCCATCCATAATCTTTTCAGGGAAACTAAGTTCGAATGGAGTTTTCCATCTGAGTCATTCTCAGTATTAATAATGAGCAGATACACCCTTCTGATGGAGAGGAGCTGTATCTATCACCTAGCTTCATTAAGGCTAGGATCCTGTACCCCCGATTCAGGGAAAAGGGAAACGTTTAGGCTTTTCCCAGGTCTGAGGGAGGTTGTCTTCATGCCTGATGCTTTAGTGATGGGAATTCATGTTTTTAAAGATTTTATTTATTTATTTTTAGAGAGGGGAAGGGAGAAAGAGGGAAACATTGGTGTTCGATACAACTATCGATTGGTTGCCTCTTGCACATTCTCAAATGTGTACCTGGCCCACAACTCAGGCGTATGTCCAGGCTGGGGATTGAACTGGTGACCTTTCAATTCACAGGCCCAATCCACTAAAACACACCAGCTAGGGCCATTGGTTGATTCTAATATGTGTCCTGAACCAGAGATGAAACCTACAACCTTTGTGTATCAGGACAATGCTTTAACCAATTGAGCTATCCAGCCAAGACTCTTTCCTTGATTCTCTTTTTAAAATTTTAATCCTCAACCTATTTTTCATTGGTTTTGGAGGAGGAGGGGGAGGGAGAGGGGAAATCATTGATTGGTTGTCTTTTGTACATGCCCCAACAAGGGAATGGAACATGCATCCTAGGTATTTGCCCTGACTGGGAACTGAAACCTCAACCTTTCGGTGTACAAAATGGCGCTTCAACCAACTGAGCCATACCAGCCAGGGCTTGCTTTCTTTTTTAAATTTAAATCCTCACCTAAGGGTATATTTATTGATTTTCAAAAGAGAAAGGTGGGGAGAAGAGAGAGAGATACATCGAAAGGTTGCCTCCCATACTCACCGACTGGACTGGGGATCAACCTTGAAACCTAGGTATATGCCCTAACCTGGAATCGAACCCAAAACCTTTTGTGTGAAGAATGTTCCTCCAACCAACTGAGCCAATTGGCCAGGGACTAATTTACTTGTTTGTTTGTTTTTAGAGAGGGGAAGGGAGGGAGAGAAACATCACTGTGTGGTGCCTCTCATGCAACCCCTATTGGGGAGATGGCCCACAACCCAGGCATGTGCCCTCCTGACTGGGGATCGAACCAGTGCCCTTTAGTTCACAAACCAGAGCTCAACCCACTGAGCCACACCAACCAGGGCTTCTTTCCTTGATTCTTAACACAAAGTTTCTTGGTCCTCCTATTTCTGTACTGTTTCTTCACTGGTTTCTTTTTCTCTGCCTGCTCCATACGTGTGGCTGTTTTTCTTGGGTTCTATCCCTCTTACTAGCCAATATTACCATAGGCACTTTCCAATTTAACTTTCTCTTCTATTCCTGTTTTCTCCTTTAAATCCTTAAATAGCTAGCTCTACACTGCCAAACAGGAAACTTTTTTTACGATGTACAGAAAAATGAGAACTACTGTGGGCTGGTGAGGGGAAGTTTGAGGAAGGTAGCTCCATGCTGAACTACTCCATATGGTCATGTATATTTCAACAGATTGAGTCTCCCCCATCCTGTCCCCAAATAGCTCTGAATAAAATCCACACTACAGCCCTAGCTGGTGTGGCTCAGTGGATTGTGTGCTGGCCTGTGTACCAAGAGGTCACTAGTTTGATTCCCTGCCAGGGCACATGCCTGGGTTGTGGGCCAGGGCCCCAACTGGGGGAATGCAAAAGTCAACTGATCAATGGATCTATCACACATTGCTCTTTCTTCTCCCTCTCTTTTTCCTCCCTCCCTCTTTCTCTAAAAGTAAATAAATAAAATCTTCAAAAAAAAAAAAAGAGAGCAAAGTGATTACTTCATTTGTATATTTACTCAAAATTCAAACCTTAATACTACAGAAAAGAATGCCCTGTTTATTCTATGATTTTTCATACTCAAGGAATACTTCCACATACCCACCTCTGTTTAGCACCCACTTCCATCCAAAGCCCTGAGACCTGGCTCCTGCTTCTCTTTTTATACTGATCTCTTTGCTACCCTCTCTTTTTTTTTTTCTTTACCTCCAAATTTCCTCACCTGTATTTCCACAAAAGGAGCATGCTCTTTGACGCAAACGTGTGCTAGGAATAGTCCTTCCTATTTACCCTAGGAATTTCTACTCCTGTTTCACAAGAGATCTGTCAACCTCCTCCACTTTTTTTTTTTTTTTTTTTTTAAGGCTTATCAAGTCCTTTGCCCATTTTATTTTGGAGAGAGAGAGAGAAAGAGAAACTGTCGGTTGCCTCCTGTACTCGCGCCTACCTAGAGGTGATGGAACTGCAATCCAGGAATGAGCCCTGAGCCCGAATCAAACTCCCGACATTTCAAAAGTGCAACCTTTCGGTTTAAGAGAGGTTGCTCCAACGGACTTAGCCACACCGGCCAGGGCAGCCTCTCCACTTTGTGGCTATTGCCCTTCATCTTTAGGTGACCCAAATTTATCCCCTCCTCCTTCGTGCAGCCACTCAACCAGGACGCATCACACTTGACCGCATTGTTTGCTCCTCTTTCTTGAAAGGGAGCTCCTAAGTCTAATTAATGTCTCTTCAATGCCTAGCACACATCTAATCTATTAATGACATTAATTTCCTTCATTGTACAACGTTAAGTGATAGAGAATTCTGTCCGGATTCCTGACCTGCTGAGCTGTCTCGTAAGCTTCCAGTCTCACCACTGCAAAAGAGATACAGTGCTTTGTCTCTTAAAGAAAGCTCCTGACTTCGCCAAGGTCACCGTCAGTGCTGCTTCACGACGAAACCATTTCCCTAACTTCCGCCCCTGAAACTGTCATCCAGCTCAAGGTCCTACCTAAGGAGAGAGCCCAAGGGCAGCCAGACAGCCCACGTGCTGCCCAACAGGAAGTCGGCCCTTCTCCTAAACGTAGTTCCGCCAAATACAGCCTTCGACTGACATCCCAGTTGTCCAATTATGTTTTGAGGCTCTGAGGGTTGCACCTAGCCTGACAATGTCCAGTAAAAAAAAGGAATTCAGATTAGCACCAATTTTGACCAACGGTTGAAACGATGAGAGATCACTAACCTATAGAAACAGCTCTGAGAATGATGAGCAGTAAATTCATCCAATGGATGTGCCTACTGCAGAGTAGGCCTCGCCCCAATCGCCGTGGTGTTGGCGGCTGCTAACGCTGTTGCGTTCAGTCTCCACCCGGACTCCGCCATGTTGGGTCTTGTGGGTCGTGTGGCCGCAGTCTCGGCCTCCGGGGCTTTGCGGGGACTCAGCCCTGCAGCGCCTTTACCCCAAGCTCAGCTCTTACTGCGGGCCGCCCCGGCAGCACTCCAGCCTGGTAAGTTCCTTTTTCTAGGAGCTGGGATTGTCTCTACCGCCCCATGACCTTGAGCCCGGGGCCGATTGTCTCTCGGGCCTAAGGTATACGGTGCTAGAAGGACGCCAGGGCCAGCCAGCTTCCTGCTCTTTAACGGCTGGAGAACAAGAACGGTTCACCCATGAGCTTTTTCCCGATCTAATTCCGTCTCATTTAGGAAAATGGGGGTGCAGTGACCTTCACATGAAATGGGGTGCACCGAGGTCTCGCATAATGGAGTTTTGTGCATGAGGTTGGAAGATTGTGCAGGCGCTTTCTGGTTTCTGCGCTGCCCTTTCTCTGGACACGCCTTCCTCGCAAACGGAAGGAGACCGGGCCTGGCCTGAATTCACCAGCCCTTGTGGGTTAAGTCCGATCTTCCAGAGACCTTTAATTGCCCTGACCCCCCTCTTTCCAACATTTTTTTTGTCTGTTAGCCAGAGACTATGCCGCCCAAACATCTCCTTCGCCAAAGGCAGGAGCCGCCACTGGGCGCATCGTGGCTGTCATCGGTGCAGTGGTGGACGTCCAGTTCGATGAGGGCCTACCACCCATCCTAAATGCTCTAGAGGTGCAAGGCAGGGAGACCAGGCTGGTTTTGGAGGTGGCCCAGCATTTGGGTAAGTACAATTTGTTAGGAATATTAAAGAGTTTTTTTAGCCCAAATATTTCCCATACCAGGCTATCTTCCTTCTATGATGATTTTACCAAAATGACTTTCGTTCTTCTGAGTTTGCTGAAGCCACATTTAGGTACTGAGAAGGAAAGGAGTCTTGGTTAATTTAGGTCTTTCATGCCACCTACACTTCATTAAATACCATGAGGTCACCTTATTTTTACGCATCACCTTGCAGCAATGCCTTTATCTAACAGGTGAGAGCACAGTAAGGACCATTGCCATGGATGGTACAGAAGGCTTGGTTAGAGGCCAGAAGGTCCTGGATTCTGGTGCACCCATCAAAATTCCCGTTGGTCCTGAAACCTTGGGCAGAATTATGAATGTCATTGGAGAACCTATCGATGAGAGAGGCCCCATCAAAACCAAACAGTAAGGATCCCTCTTGCTGCATCTACACACAGGAACAGCTTTTTGTTGAAGTTTTATACATTAGTTAACACCTTATAGAATGGCAGAATATTCCTGTGGAGAATGCTTGAAATACTGAAATATTCAGTTATTAAAGTCACACAATGCAGTATCTTCTGAAGAAAATTAAAGATGCAGAAATTCTGATCGTAAAAAACTTGCTATTCAGGACTCAAGTTGATTACTTAGTGAGTTTTTTTTTGTTTTTTTTAATTTAAAGATTTTATTTACTTTTAGAGGGAAGGGAGGGAGAAAGAGAGGGGGAGAAACATCAGTGTGGGAGAGATAACATCAATGGGTTGCCTCGTGCATGCCCCCAACTGGAGCAACCCAGGCATGTGCCCTGACTGGGAATTGAACCAGCAACCTTTCAGTTCTCAAGCCATTGCCCAGTCCAGTGAGCCATACTAGCCAAGGCTATTTAAGTTTCAGTACCAGTGGTTTATATTGTGGGGTTTCTAGAAATTAACTGCATTTGCCATGTATAATGCTTACTCTTATTTTCTCCCCCAAAGTTGGGCAAAATGCACATTATACATGGCAAAATACAGTGTATATCATATATTTCTCATTGGTATGTGAAGGGGTGCTATTAATTTAGGACTCATTAAGAGGAAAATCTTTCTGGAAGTTAGTCAGAAAAAAGGACTGTTGCATCCCAAGATATGAAATCCCTTTGTAAGAGGAGATGAGATTGAGTAAAGGGTTAGACTTGAAAATTGAGAGGAATCCTTCAACAGGATGAGTAGACACTGATCTCTTCTGCCTTTGCAGATTTGCACCTATTCATGCCGAAGCTCCTGAATTCATGGAGATGAGTGTTGAGCAGGAGATTTTGGTTACTGGTATCAAGGTTGTGGATCTCTTGGCTCCCTATGCGAAGGGTGGCAAAATTGGTATGTCAGTGGTGGGTACATATTTTCCAAACCTAACACAGGGAGAAAAAAAATCCTACCATAGTATGAGTGTGTACTGTCCCTCGCTGATAAGTAGCTTCTGACTTTCGTTCTTCTGAGTGTGCTGAAGCCAGATGCCATTTTTGAGAAGGAAAAAAATCTAAAAAGCTTTTTTTTTTTTTTTTTTTAGTTTGCTTCTTAGGAACACAGAACTTTTAACTATTCTTTTTTTATTTTCTCAACCTCTCCCAGGGCTCTTTGGTGGTGCGGGAGTTGGCAAGACTGTACTGATCATGGAGTTAATCAACAATGTTGCCAAAGCCCATGGTGGTTATTCTGTGTTTGCTGGTGTTGGTGAGAGAACCCGTGAGGGCAATGACTTGTACCATGAAATGATTGAGTCTGGTGTTATCAACCTAAAAGATGCTACCTCCAAGGTGAGCACTGAATTGATGTCCATATAGTCAGTACACTACAAAATCACTGTAGTTGACTGTGTTGCTAGCTGAAGCCATGGTTTTTGTTTGCATTTTGGTGTCCTAGGATCTGCGAAGGGAATTCCTGTCAGTGTTTCCCCTCCAATTTCTAATACACTAGTGCAGATTTCCCCCCCTTTTTAACATTAGATTAAATTTCTAGGCTTTTTATGGTAGCTAGACCTATCATTTGAAAGCTTATTTTGGGGGAAGTTGGATGTGGTTCATATGTCTCATAACCCTATTTTGTGCCTTCATTTACAGTTAATTTTCTTCCTACTACCTCAGTAAATTAGACTTTTACCTCATTAATTCAAGAAATTATCTTGTGTTTTAAACTGCAGCTCTAAAAAGGAAACGAAATTTGTGAATAAAAACATTAACATCTTCTGAGGAGAGTTTTTTTGAAATAGTTTAGCTGTTTGGAGATCTTAGGTATATGACTTCAGTACTCTTCTGCCAGGTTTTCCTTTTTCTTTTTTGCTAGGGGAGATTGCAAATGCAGTTCCCCGCAACCTCACATTATATAGTTGAGTTTCCCACATTTGGATAAGGCAGCCTTCAGAGCCTGCATACATAAACCCTGAGCTCCCTATTCAGATTTTCTGGTTGTGTATGATTATTCACAGGTAGCGCTGGTGTATGGTCAAATGAATGAACCTCCTGGTGCTCGTGCTCGGGTTGCTCTGACTGGACTGACTGTGGCCGAATACTTCAGAGACCAAGAAGGTCAAGATGTACTGCTGTTTATTGATAACATTTTCCGCTTCACCCAGGCTGGCTCAGAGGTAAGAGAGAAAGCTTGAGAGGGCCTGCTTGGTTCATTCGAGCTTTCTATGGGATGGTGCAGGTGAGGCTAAAGATGCAGACACCTAACACTTTTTGTGCTCTACCTCCCCCACCCCTACTGCCCTACCAGGTGTCTGCTTTATTGGGAAGAATCCCTTCTGCTGTAGGCTATCAGCCTACCCTGGCCACTGATATGGGTACCATGCAGGAAAGGATCACCACCACCAAGAAGGGATCTATCACTTCTGTACAGGTAAGAACAGTGAAATAAATGAAGGTCTAATTTGTATATAGGCATGTACAAAATATATAAAAGGCATGTATAAAAAGGCAGTATAAAACCTAGTTAACTTACATTTCAAGAGGTTTTTAACTGGGTTCATGTGCTCCCTAAAATAATGGGTAAGATTTTGTGTGTTCATGCTAAAACTGCTAAAAGGTTAAGAAACATTCATATAAAGCAATTGAAGGTATACATGGAAATGTAGATCACAAAGTAGTGGTTTCCAGCCTGAAGGGGAGTCTGTGGAACTACATGGAAATTGAATGGTAAGTAGTTTTGGGTTAATATACTACACTTTTTCAAGTGTTTACAGATGGTATGTATAGTAAAATCTGAAAATGTGTCTAAGTTGAGTAGTAATTTGAATGATCCCTAGTGAACTATTATAGTGGTGCAAGGTTTTTTAGTTTTAATTTTTTTATTCTACAGAGGGGAAGGGAGGGAGAAAGGGCGAGATTGATCAGTTGTCTCTTTTAAATATATATATATATATATATTGATTATGCTATTACAGTTGTCCCATTTTCCTCTTCACTCCCCTCCCCCCACACACCCTCTCCCATCCACATCCCCCCCTCTTTAGTTCATGTCCATGTGTCAAGTTCTTGGCTTCTTGATCAGTTGCCTCTTGTATGTGTCTCTACTGGGGGCTGAACCTTTAACTCAGAAAGTGGCTATGACTACTGTAGAGTTAAAATGTATGAAATAATTAAAATGTAGGATGAAAAGCAAAAGGACTATGAAAATTCTTTCATCACAGTTTATAAGGATCAGATAATCTGTGAACTCAGCATCTATTACAGGTGGTAAAAAGGCTCTTTTGAGGTAGACTCTTGAATGCTAAGAAGCTGGAGTGAGAATGGGGAGAGTTCAGAAGGGGGATGGTTTGAGTAGAATTACTTGGCTTTCTGTTGCTCCTCATGGCTTCTTAACTCACTTTAGGCCATCTACGTGCCTGCTGATGACTTGACTGATCCTGCCCCTGCCACTACCTTTGCGCATTTGGATGCTACTACTGTGCTGTCCCGTGCTATTGCTGAACTGGGCATCTACCCAGCTGTGGATCCTCTAGACTCCACGTCTCGCATCATGGATCCCAACATTGTTGGCAGTGAGCATTACGATGTTGCCCGTGGGGTACAAAAGATCCTACAGGTGAGTATTATTTCAGGTGAGATTTGTGTCCATAAAATTATACAGAGGGAATTTGGGGACTATATTAGGACCACATTTTTCCTGGTGACTTGAATGATTTGCTTTAGAGCAAGGAAGGATGAGACAAGCAGTTTCTAGTGGTGGTTAATGGGGTCACTTGGGTTTCCAGGTACTTGGTCTTTGGAATCCAGTTTTCTCTAAGAGTACCAGACTAGAAGTAGGAAGAACAAGACACCGATCTTAGCTGAGGGCTCTCATGATCACCCCAAGTCTGTTACTTTTCCTCCACTAACTTCTTGCACAGATAAAGTGAGATAAGGTGCTAAAATGCTTTGTACAAAGCGTGGTGTGAATGTAAGGTGATAGTAACGCTTGGGTTTTTGTCCAAATTAAAAGATTGTAAATATTTACTCCAGGCTCTCTTGTTTTCTCAATAGGACTACAAATCCCTCCAGGATATCATCGCCATCCTGGGTATGGATGAACTTTCTGAGGAAGACAAGTTGACTGTGTCGCGTGCACGGAAAATACAGCGTTTCTTGTCTCAGCCATTCCAGGTTGCTGAGGTCTTCACAGGTCATATGGGGAAGCTGGTGCCCTTGAAGGAGACCATCAAAGGATTCCAGCAGATTTTGGCAGGTGAGATGTCCAGTGTAAATCTGAACATAAATGGCAAAAAAAACCTGAATTGTCTTGAATGCTTGTGGTGCTGTGTTCCCATTTTAGTAGCCATCAAACCATATATAAATATATTGTCCTAATTACATAATGTTGAAAAATAAAAACAAGCTATTTCCCTTTAATTTTCTCTGGAAAGACTCTACTTCTGAGAGGGTGACATGTTATTACTTGATTCTTGTCAGCCTACACTTACTGTGTTCAGTGTCAGCTACTCTTCTAAGTGAGCTAACAATATCCTTAGGAAGAACGTATTATTGTTTTACAAATTAGGAGACTTACAGCACAGTTCCAATGTCACACAGCCAAAGTAGGGAGTAAGAATTTGAACCCAGGTTATGTGGCTTGTTCTTAATCCATGCTCTCTATCAGGTCTTATAAATTGGATTTGTGAGGGAAGTTTGTTTAGAAAAGATTTCTTAGATGACATGTATTCACCACATTCTGATGGATGACCTCAAGTTGTAAGGTGTGTAACACTGCAGAAAGTTGATGTCCCTCCACTTCTCACCAGTTGGATTTTTCTTTTGTTTTTCCCCCTACAGGTGAATATGACCATCTCCCAGAACAGGCCTTCTATATGGTGGGACCCATTGAAGAAGCTGTGGCAAAAGCCGATAAGCTGGCTGAGGAGCATTCATGAGGGGATCCTAGCACTTTTCTTCCAAGCTGTCCCCCTCCTTGTCCCTAATCCAAAAAATTCAGTTTTCTCTGTAAGCCACATGAAAGCCGTGATTGAAGACATTATGTTTTGTCTGAAGAGTATTTAAGATTTACAATAAAATGTACATGCCTCCAAATCTGTTTTTCTTGGGCCTAACCATATAGCCAATAGTAATTTTAGAGTGGCCAGCCACAAAAACAGCACAAAGTAGGCCATATGTTTGAAATGGGTTGTCCAAAAAAAAAAAAAAAAAAAGCCATTGTCTTGGATTGGTGAACTGTGGGTCTTGTTGGAAGTGCACATTGGGAAAAATGGTTGAGATTTAGAAATAACTGCTGTTCTAAAACAAGGCAAGGGTTAATAATAAATGAACAAAGAATTTCATTTTTAAGAAATGGTCTGAAGGGTTAATGCTGATATGTGCAAAAATTTAGTCAAAAGGGCTTCATAGGCCTTCATTTTTTTTCTTGGGCTTTTTTTTACCCCACCCCCCCAAGTGTTCTCCCTGATTTATATTTGGTAAAGCCTTGACTTGTGTGTGATGGCTTGAAGAAATGAAGGGTATAAAATGCCATGGAGCCTATCCTGAGCTCTGCTAAGATCCCTTACTAAAGTTGAGGAGAGACTGGTGTGTTGCATAAGAGCAATTTTCAGGGTTGCTGGCCTTGGGCTACTGAACTATAATAATGGAATTCCGTCTTCGTTTTATGTCATTAAAAGGTGCGGGATTAGAATAGTCAAAAGTACACCCGTTTCAGTTTGAAACAAGTACCAGTTACAGTGCAAAGTCGGATTTGGTGCCAGACCCACTACTTCCCTCTGGTGGTAGGACTGGAGACTGCAAGAACTGATCTCACCATTTTGAAATCCTTGAAGGCCATTTGCTGGGACGTGGTTCTTAGCTAATGACTGTTTACAAACCAGCTGGGGCTTTTGTCCTGAGGAGGAGTCTGCATCTATAAGCCCCACCCCCGAGGTTTAGAAGCTGGGCGGGGACAAACATCCCAGTTCCGAGGCCCCTGGGGGCTGAAGGTTGGGGAGGGACCTTGGGAGAGGCGCCAGGGGTGGGGTAGCGGCCTCTAAGTTTCCTCCCATCGGCCTTATGACGTCCTTGGCTCCACTCTTCTGTGTTATGTTCTGGACGGAAGGTGGAGCCCCTGAGCCGCCTGTGCCCAGTATTTCGCCCCCAGAAAAACCTGGATTTGGGGAAATGCTGAGTTATGGAGGTAGGGGGCATTAGGTCCTTAGTCTAGAGTGGATATGAAGCTGGTTCAGAAGGCTCAAGGGTATTGCTCAGCCTTTCCTATTTCTCTTTCCTGGGTTATCCAGAGGCAGACCTGGGAACTGTGATCCTAAAGGTTATTTGTATCCCACCACCCCTGCCTCTCAGACGTTCATATCTCTCAGCATTCATCGAGAACCTTCTCCCTCTTACTAGCTGCAACTAGTTATTTCCTTCCCTCTTTACCACTCTATTTTTCTACCACGCCATTGGAGTGTCAACACAGATCTAACCTTCCTCCATATTTCTCCTGGTTCTGCCCTGTCCTCGCCTCCTCCTCCCTTCTCCACCCAGAGAAAGCCCCGCCCTTCCCTCCTCCCTCTCCACCCCAGTCTGTCACACAGGGACATCACCCTACAGCAGTTCAGGCTGTGGTTTGCAGGAAGCATACATTGGCTTTTTGATTCGTGCTAGTTCCCAGCTCAGTTTGGGAGGCTCTAACGCCAGACTTCACGTGAAGGGGGAACCAAGGTCGGTGAGGAGCTGGGTGGTCCCAGCCCTGGAGCCCTGCCAGCCTGACATGGGTAAGTTTGAGGACCAGCCCCCGGGAAGGCCTGAGGGATGCCTGCCTCCCTCTCTGGCTGACTCAGCAGGGGTGGGGCCTAACCTTTGCTCTTTTGGGGGGTGAAGGAGGAGAAAAGGGACCATAGGGGTACAGAGCTCAGCCGGTGAGGCTGCCGAGCACAGGATCATGAGCATTTGCAAGCTCCAGCTCCAAGGAAGAGCCTGAGACTCTCCACCTCACAACCCCCTCCCCCATTACCCAGCCCCTTGCTCCTTCCCATTTAAGCTACAAAGATTCAAGTAATATTTCACAGTACACAATGCTACCCCTCCCCGAAAAGTAAAGGCCGTTTTTGGTAGGTCTTTACTCCCCCTAATTTCTCCCAGGCCTTTTAAGTCCCTGTTTTCTCTCCTCCCCCACCCTGACCCACCACCAGGTGGGGGCTGCACTGAGCAGCTGTTTCCTGTTGCCCCAGAGGTTGCTGCAAGGGTGGTGGTGGTTGGGGGAAAACTGAACCTGAATAAAGCCGATTCTCACGGTCCCACTAGGGCTGCTATAGGCGGCCCCCCACGCCCCAGTCACTGACAACACTGGGTGAGAGGCAAGATTGTGGTTGAAGGGCCTAGGCAGTCTTTACCGTCGTGGCTTCCTCACTCCACAGGCTTTTAAACTTGGGTAGTGCCGGGGGAAGGAGCCTGGCAGGCCTTTCTACAGCTGTAGGGATGGAGATCTGAGGAGCCGAAACATAGGAAACCTGTTCACCTAGTAGGGCCGCTGTGCGTTACCCGCAGCAGGATAGGCCTTGATTTCCCTCTCCGGCATTTCCCATTCCTGCTTGGGAGTCGTGACTCTCACTGCCTTCCCCGCCCCGCTTTGTGAAAAGATCTTTGCCGGTGCGCCGGGAGCGCAGGCGGAGCCCTCCCAAAGTGCTCCTGTTAGGACCCACCGCCATCCCCCACGTCACCACAGAAGTTTCTGTCTTTTCTTCCTGGGATCTGTTCTCTTCCTCCATCTGGGATCCTTCCTGGTTCTGGCCCCTAGGAGACGCCACCCGCTTCCCCCTCCCCCAGCGTATTCTTCGCTACAGCCCTACCCAAGGACTCGTCCTTACCCCAGTAGCTCCTGCCCCTTTAAGTGCTCTCCTCCCCGCCCCCCCGCTCCGCCGCCTCCACCGCTGCCGCCGGCCCAGGGCTGGGGGAGGAGGCGCCGCCGCCCGGCTGGGCCACCTGCGCCGTCGCCGCCGCCGCCCGGCCCTGCTCCAGGTGAGGCCCGGCACCCACGTCCGGTCCCGCAGTCCCCGGGCGGGCCGCCCCTGCGGTCCCTTGCCCCAGGATCCCTAGTGGCCGGGACTCAGGATCTGACCATCCCCCTACGGGAGCTGCCCTTCTTCCTCTCTCCCCCGCACTATCTACTTGCTTATTTCTCCCCTGTCCTCTGCAACCGGAATCCCGAGGCTTCTCACGCCTCTCGGCCAACCTCTCCGGGGTATTCCTCCTATTCTGGACCCATGATCTACCCCTCCCCTGTGCCTTCCTCGCCAGAACAATCTCCCGCGGTCTGGGTTTCGCCTCCTCTCCTCTGGAACCAGCGCTTTCCCACGCCATCCTAACCTCCAATGGGAGGGGGAATAACCGCCACCCCAACTCCTCGCATCGGTAGTAAGGGGGTTGGAGGTTTAGTCTATACTGCATCCACTTTCTGGCTCTGCTCCGCTTAGTTCTTTAAGTTCAACTAAGTCACATCTAAAGCTTTTCTCTAGTTGTCATCCCACCCCACCACTCCCCGAGTTTGGGGGTCTGACCTCAGCACCCGCTAACCTACCCAGGTTGGAAAGGCCCTGTTCTTGGGCCAGTCCAGCCTAGGAACCTCCCTACACTACAGTCAGGGGATTGGCGGGGGCGGGGTTGGGGGGGTCGGTGCCCAATTCTTGTGATTCTGGGTTTAAGGGGCTGAGGGGCTGTTGGCATTATAGTGGGTGTGGGAGGGGCTGGAACTAAATCTCTAAGGATATTGGGGTGGTGGGAAAGGCAGGGAAGCCCAGTCTTCTCTATTCAGATGCAAAGGGAGTCGCCACCCCTTAAGGAAATTAGGGCTTTCTTCATCCTCTCATGAGACCATCATGGAGAAGCTCATTGCTGTGTTTGTAACAGGATTGTGCGTGAATCTGAGGGGACACATACCAACTTGGAGAGGAGGTGTTATGGTCCTTTTGTTGTGTTATAGGAGAGAAGTAAAATGGTTACAGGGTTGAGGGCCATGTCCCTACTAGACCCTATCAACAGTATGAACCATTCAGCAAGTGAGGGCAAAGGAGATCTTTAATAATTACTGTATGTATCTCCATTGGGGAATTCCCCCTCCCTCCAAGTCCAGCTGCTCCCCCAGCTCTGTCCCTTCTTTTCTTGTGCTCTCGCCATCACCCCCTCTCCAGAAATGAGAGGGCAAGGTATTTGGATTTGCTTCAGATTCTTGTGAGTCTTGTTCCATGGGCTGGGAAGAAGCTGGAGGGAGGAGAGTGGTCAGCAGTGGTGTTTGGGATTAAATTCCAGGAGTGTCTGGAGTGGGAGAGGGAGAAAGGTAGAAGGATGCAAACAAACCCCTTCTCACTCCCTTTCTCTCTTCCTCCCAGCCCCCAGCCATCTGGCTTCAGAGTGGAGCCAGGCACTGTGGCAACTGACCCCAGAGTCAGGGTGGTGCAGCAGGAACACAAGTAGGGTGAAAAGGAGGAGCAGGTGCTGATTTCTCCCTCCCCATTTTTTTCGTTATCTGCCCACTGGCCTGGTTTGAGAGAGGTTTGGAGTATTCCCTAGGTACCCTTCTCACAAGTTGCTGGGGGAAAAAATGATCATTTCCCCTTTCCCCTTTCTAGTAGCTTCCTAGAGGGAAATGGGGTGAGTGATTGGCCACATCTGATGGGATTGAGGAATGTTTGGGGACACACGGGGTCAGTCTGCCCTCTGTCGTCTGGATGTGGGGAGAAGCACAGCTGCTGCCTGGGGTGGCTTCTGGCAAGTAAACACCCAGCTATTGGATATATTGACATCTCACCCTCATCCTTTCTCCAAGAGCAAGGAAGATCTCTGATTAGATGGGATTAGGAGGGGTCTCACTCAGGAAGGAAGGTGATTGTAGTCTTTATGCACCATATGGGAAGAATGGATCTTGCCCCACTTTCTATTCTAATCCCAGGTGGCCCTCTCTTATCCAACACCCCTCTTCCCTACTGCTCCTGACTGGGATAGTGCTAGGGGTTGCCCTGGAGACTAGGCCCGGGTCTCGGAAGGGGTGGGGGCAGTCAAGTGGGGCACAGGAGTAACCGGCTCTTCCGGAGCAGAGCGGAGCTAGCGGG